ACACACACACACACACACCCCACACACACACACCCTTGAAAAAAAAGTTCCACAAATAATACCTATACTCATTATGCACTATTTACTCTAATGTTTTCTTTTTTTTCTATTCTTTTCTCTTCATTAAAGAACTGACAGACACAACTAAATTGATTTCAAGACATGTTAATGAAAATGAAGTTAATGGAATGTAGAGTTGAAAAATAAAAATCATTCCAGTAAAAACAGAAAAGAGGAAGTCCAACTAACTGTAGGTGTTTATAGACACACAATGAAAAGTTGAAAGAAAAAAAAAGTATAATAGTCAAATACTCAACAAATCAAAGCTGATATAGCTACATTAATGTCAGATGAAATAGATTCTAAGGCAAAAAACATTATTTAGACATAAAGAAGGTCACTATTTACAATGATAAGAGGGAAACTTCAGAAGACATAACCATTCTAAGTTTATATGGGCTTAATAACATTGCCTCAAAATATTTTAAGCAAAAATTAACAGAAATTGTGATGCTGAAGATCCAAAATCACAGTGAGAAATTTTGACATACTTCTTCAGTTATTGATAAATCAAGCAGATAAAAAATTAGCGAGGACATAAAAGATTTGAACAGCACATTATAATAAGCTTGATCTAATGTACATATATAAAACCTTTCACCCACCAATTAAAGAATCCACATTCTTCTCTAGTACACATAGACCATTTAAAATACTGTACATGAACCAGGCTTCAAAGCAAATCTCAACAAACACTAAAGAACTGATATCATGTAGTTCTCAATATAAAATATTAGCTTAAAAGAAACCAATGAGCTAAATAACCAACTAAAGAAATTAAATAAGAAAAACCAGAGTATGCTGGTTTGAAAGAAAGTACAAAGAAGAAAAGAAAAAAGAGACAAGAGGAAAAAGACCAATGTATGGTAAGACTAAATTAAATTCATAAAGCATACTTGTTGATTACTATTGCCGTATTTCTAAGTATTTTTTTTTATTAATTCACTTACCCGTTTCACTCAAGAAAAATATACTGACCACTGATTCAGAGATAGAATTATTTTTAAAAGTTCACGATCTACTCGGTCAACAATTATTTACATTGTTGTTTCCTATGGGCAAAGCACTTTCCTAAGAGGTGGGATGGAGTGGGGGATATTTATAGTCCAAAAAGGGAGAGGAGTATATAAATGATACAAAATGTAAAGCAATAAATTCCACATATTTCTCTGTTCAGAGCAGAGAGATATTAATTCAGACTTGTGATGGGGTAAGGGATTAGGGAAGAGATGGCCTTAAAATGCAAGTAAAATGCCTAGATAGGAAGAAGGGGCAGGAGAACAGTTACATATTCAAGGCAGGCAACAGAATGCAAAGTATATGTAACATAAACAGTAAATGGTTCTAGTTGGAACACAGACCAAGGAAGACGAGAAGGCCACAAAGGTGGTTTAGGGACAAACTATAAAAGACTCTAAAAGCTATGCTAAAACATGAGACCTTATTCTATAGGTGGTGGATGGGTAGGTATGAGGGCTGTCACTTAAGTTTTTCTGCTTTGTTTTAGCAGAAGTAGTCATGAGAATTAGGATCCAAGAAAATTGGTTAGGAAATTATTTCTATAGACAAAGCAGAGGTTAAGAAGGTTTGAGCTAGTCTAGTGATAGTAAGAATAGAGGACTGGAGAGATGAGAGACATACTGCAAAGGTAGAATTATGATTTGACAAGTGGACAATGGAGCAATGATAGAGTCAAAGATGAGTCTGGGGTTTCTCAGTGACAAGACAGTTGGGTTGTCATTGACGGAAAAAGGGAATGCAGGAAATAGTACGAGTTGGGATGGATATACCTTTAGAGATAGCTATTACAACCTATAGGGCTATATTAGAAATGTTGTCCTAAAATTACTGGAAAGCAATTATTTTATAAAATACTATATGACTTAAAATTTATCTGCCATTCAACTTCACTGAATCCTTAGTCACTATATTTCCTCCTTTTCTTTCAGTCTCCCTTTTGCCCCCTGACTTTACTTCTTTCCAGGCTGTTGAACAACTCTAGGGTGCACCATTCACACTGCACAGAGAGTGCTAATCCCACAGAATCTCCTGCTATTGTGCAATATGGTGACCTTGCTTCCTTCCCTATCCATCATAAACTCATGAGACATGGTTTCATCTACTCTTTAATTACTACTCTTAAAGTTTGAAATTAGAAAGAAACTAGAAGTATTCTTAAACCTAGCATGGGTTACCAGCAAAGGAGCCCATTCTCTTTCATTGGTAACTTTTTGAAAATAAACTAAAAATGCATCTATTCGAAGTACAAAAGCAGAGTGACAACCTTAGTGGTATGGACTAAATGTTTGTGTCCCTCCCCCCCAATTCATATGTTGAAATCCTAACCCCAATGTGATGGTACTAGGAGGTAGGGCCTTTGGGAGGTGATTAGGTCATGAGGGTGGACCCCTCACGAATGGGATTAGTGCCCTTATAAAAGAGACTCCAGAGAGCTCTCTCTTGCTGCCATGTGTGGCCCAATACATGACATCTGTATTTTTTTATGTTTCTTGTTTTTTTCACAACCCTTTAAAAAGCAAAAAATATTCTTAGCTCAAGGGTCATACAAAAACAATCTGGCCTGTGTTCTGTAATTTGCTTACGTCGTGCTCTAGAAAAAAGTCCTCCTCATTCTGTCATCTGATGGCTCTGCTGTCTGATAGTCGGCTCTTTAACCAGCTCTTCCTGAAAATAAATCTGCCAGTCAAAAGTTCTACCCAGGTATATCTGCAAACCACGAAGCAGGCACTTACCAGAACCCAACCATGCTGGCACCCTGATCTCAGACTTCTGTCCTTCAGAATTGTGAGAAATATATTTCTGTTGTTTATAAGTCACCCAGTCTATGGTATTTTGCTACAGCAGCCTGAACTAGGTTTCTTCCCATTTCAACGATTCCCCAAATTTCAATACTCTTAATTCTTTCCTTCAACTTATTCAGTGCAGTATAAGACATTTAGTATACAGACAAATATTAAGTGTACAGCTTCACAGACTAAGTACTCTGAATACAATGCAATTAAATTAGATATAAATATTAAAGGATAACTAAGAAAACCCCATAGGTTAAAGAAGAAATTATAACGGAAAAAAATTTAAACTTAGTACTGAACAACAGACTATAAAATTTGTAGGATGCAGCTAAAATGTATTTGGAAAATTTTAACATTAAATACTGTCTATTAGAAAAGAAGGCTAAAGATCAATAAGCTGAAAAACAAAGTTAAGGATGCACATTACCTGATTGCACTTATTATAAAGCTATAGTTATCAAGCCTGTTTGGTATTGGTGCAAGATAGAAATACAGATCAATGGAAAAGAACAGGCTAGAAATAGAGCCACACATATATGGTCAATTGATATTTGACAAAGGTGCAAAGGCAATTCAGTGGAGAAAGGGTAGCCTTTTCACAGATGTAGCCACCACCAAGATCAAGATACAAAATGTTAGTATCTTTTAATTGGTGAATATATTTGTTCTGATAAGTATTTTGGTTTCATTTTATGAAAGCCAGGCGCCATATCCCTTTATACAGAATTCAGAATGAATATATCATAAGATTAAGTGAACCTTGGGAGTTGTACTCAAAGGCCACTTCTTTAATTTATCCCTAGTTGTCTGACTTTTGACAAGTCAGTTAATTTCTCATTTTCCCCTCAGTTTTCTATTTCCTTAGGTGTCCTCTCTCCCTCTCTTCTCTAAGGTTTTTTTTTGTGAGAATGAAACATGAAAATGTAAATAAAGAATACGGGCAGCAAAGAAATTTTGAGGGGTTATGGAAATGTTCTGTGTTTTGTGGTGGTGTTGGTTTCATGGGTATAAATATTTGTCAAAATTCATCAGTTGTGCACTTTAAATGAATATAGTTTATCATAAATAAATTATATCTCAGTAAATAGACTAAAAAATAAAAAAGAATAATTAGAGGCACCTGGTGGGTGCAAATAATTGTTGATTTGTTCCTCCATCCCCTTCCTTTTTCACTTGAGAGGAAAAACATCCAGTCACTATTCCCCATATGAAAACTTTCAAAAACTTCTTGAAATAATTGTCATTTCTCTGCCTGCCCTCCTCCAGACTAAATCCCAGTATTTTTTACTTTTACTATAAATTTTATTTATAAGATCTTAAATCTAGATTCTATATCTCTCAATTCAGTTAAAGAATAAAAACAATAATCCATGCACATGGTACAAAATATCTTGAGGTCTTTAGGTGTTAGCTCTGCTCAAGTCGATGGATCTCATCAGTAGTACTATGTTGCTAACTGACGTATTTAAGAGGTTTATTGTATCTCCCTTAAATACTATTCATCCAAACTCACAGGAAGCCAGCTATACAAGTACTATCTTCAAGTCTTTTACTGATCACTAGCTATAACTATACTTCCAAAGTGAATCATATTATTTTAAAACAATAGTGGCTAAGACACTCCTTTCTTTGTTGTTTTTTGGTTTTTTTGCTGTCACCATTAGAGAAACTTAACTTTTCATTTTCTTTTTAATATATCAAATGAAGTTTTGGTACCAACACAGTTATCACGTATTTATATATTCTAAACTCAAAGCAAAATATCTCATGTTGGCTTTTTTTATATTAGTGAATTCTCTAGCTCTTTTGCCAGTAATATTAAACATAGACTGTCCTCCCTAAATTGCTAAAATCTTAGCGAGTTCATTAAAACGTATTATTAAAAAATCTGACTAGGCTTGAAACTACCTCTACCAATTTTGAAAATAAACACTTTGAGTGAGATTGTGATTTGCTACTTTGTTTTGTTTTTAAAGCATAATTTTGTTCTATGTAAGAGAATATGGAGAAGTGTTCCTTACACTTTTTCATCTTACCCTCTTTGTTCAATATTTATCACTTCTCAAAGAAGTTAGTAAATGATAAAAATAAATAAATTACCCTCTCCCCCCAGTCCATTTCACTCACCTACAAAAGGGGCTGGGAATAGTAGGTATCACATAACAAATCCCCCCATTCAGGCAAAATGACCTGTGCCTGGCACCACAGGGCTCTTCATGATCTAAAACACATGCATAAACGAAATAGAGAAAGGTAAATTAAAGTTTTTCTAATAACACAAGGAAAAGGACTAAGTACCTTAGACTGAAGTAACAATTCTAAAAATTAGAATAAACAATTGTTTCTCAAAATGAAGGAATTAATCTTATTCCTTATTTGATCAGTAGGGACTTCTACCCCTTTGAGGGAAGAATTAATCTGTCCTGAGGATATGGCCATTAATTATAATGGATATATAATATCTATTACAGAAATAGAGAATCTCTATAATAGGTTAAAAAGAGGTGATTAGGATCTTAAAATAAACAGTGGCCTTCCTCCTTAGTACAGAGATTCCCAGCTTTGCTTAGAGTTTCTCTGTCCCTAGGGTGTATTGAGGTTCTTATCTTTCCTTTTAGGTTACAAATACATTAAAGTCTGAAATTGCTGTGGGGAAAAAAGATTTAGATAATTGAAATAAATTCTGACTTCCAAAATTATTTTTAAATATTTCTACATATGACAATTTTAACATCAAAAAAGCAAAAATAAAACAATCTTATAAGGGGCCGGCCTGGTCACATAGCAGTTAAGTTTGAGTATTCCGCTTTGGCAGCCCAGGGTTCACTGGTTCAAATCCTGGGCACGGACCTACTCATGGCTGATTAAGCCATGCTGAGGCAGTGTCCCATATAGAAGAGCTACAACTCTACAACTATGATGTACAACTATGTACTGGGGCTTTGGGGAGAAAAAAGAAAAAGAGGAAGATTGGCAACAGATGCTAGCGCAAGGCCAATCTTCCTCAAAAAAAAAATCTTATAAGGTTTTATAAGGCAAGGGGATTTTAGGTAATAGCTGGTAACTGTAAAGACATATCTAAAGTTCTCAAGCAAAATTAAAAACTTAACTGATTGCTTGATATACAGCCAAAACTTCCAGAATACTAAGAAAATAAATCTCCATTTCTCTCTTGCTTCCTTCCTTTCTCCATCCTTACTTCCTTCTCTATCTTTGACCTTTCCTTTATGCTTCCTTATCTTTTTGCCTTCCCTGTCTCCTTTGGTACTGCTCCTTCCTTCCAGTCTCTACTTCCCCCCTTACCCTTTTTAAAAGGAAAATCCTTTTCCTTTCACTCCTGGTCACCAAAACTACTATATAGAGAAATTTAGAAATAACCATAGTAGAATTCATTGAGTCATTATACTACTGTTTATGGTTAGAAGAGCAAATTGCTAAATACTTTATCTTTCGGTCTTGAAGGGGCAAGGGTATTGCTTTAAAATTGCACATTGTTGGGCTGGCCCAGTGGCATAGTGGTTAAGTTTGCATGCTCCGCTTAGGTGGCCCCGGGGTTCTCAGGCCCGGATCCCAAGCACCGACCCACGCACTGCTCATAAAGCCATGCTGTGGCAGGTGTCCCACATATAAAGTAGAGGAAGATGGGCACGGATGTTAGCCTGGGGCCAGTCTTCCTCAGCAAAAGGAGGAGGATTGGCATGGATGTTAGCTCAGGGCTAATCCTCCTCACAAAAAAAAAAAAAAAATTGCACATTGTTGGTTCCTGATTGATTCTGTCTAGAAAATAACCTAGAATCGTATGTGAAGAAGAAAATGGCATTACTCCAATTTGGCATTTAAAAAAACCAGTATATTAATTTAAAAAAATTTATCTAACATTTATTTGCCACTAAGATATCAAAGCCTGTTAGGATACAATTGTTATTGAACCAGATGTCTCCACCATCAGAATTTGAAATTTTAAAACTTTCCTTTTACTTTAGAATTGAGAAGAATCTGTTTCACCATCACATTAGAACTATAAAAGTATAAAAATGTAAAAATAAAAACAGAACCACAAAGAATTTAAGTGGAAAAACAAAAAAGAAAGTAAACCAACCAGAACTAATTCTTTTAGATTTTTTTCTTTTTTCTCCAATGCCATGCTTCTTTACAATCAAACAATTTTTAATAAGATAATGCTTACAATTTTCAGGAATAATTTGGCTAACAAATAAAATCCCAATTAACATTACATTACATCAGAATCACTGGAGCCATCACATAGGGTTTTCCATTGAGGGTGGAGTGTAACTTTACCATAGAACGCTTCCTGTAGCTGAAATTAATGTCCTTGTTTTTAACAGGATTATAACCAGTCACGTCTCAACACCTGGTATTTTATCAGTAAAGCATACTCATCTAACCTGAATCACTCTCTCTGAATCTATTTTTATTCTGATTTCATTTACTTATTTGTAAAGTTGATATCAGATATAGAGTAAGGTAGAATTTGTCAGTTTATAAAAAGTGATAAAATATATAAGTCTAAAATAAAATAATTTCATGTTATAAAGGATGGTCTTTCAAAACCAAAGTATTTCAGATTTCAGGAACAATTTTAGATGGAGAAAAATACAGTCTTATGTTAATATGCTTTTTTTTTTGTTCTATTGCTATGTGACACACATTGACAAAAGTATAAACTTACAAGAAATTACCTGTTGGCATCTTAATTTTTAAATAGTTTTATTCTTGATCAAAAGTTGAGAGTTGAAAACAGCACCTAAAATTAATAATTTAGGAAAAATTATCTTCTTTCAAGAGCATTATAAAATGTCAAATATTCTAATAGCAATATACTTTTAAATAAGGAAAATAATTAAGACTTTTATATGCTAGTCACAAAATTCTTTGGTTAGAGCATCTATTTTTTTTAGATACTTATTACGTATCAATAAAAAAATCTGAATAGATAAAACTAAAAGATCAACATTAAACAGTATAAATGCACTAAATATAAATCACTGCCTAAATAATGTAATGTAATTTTAAAACTCTCTCTGGAGAAAATTCTACTAAGTTTTACCTTTAATAAACATTGTTAATGTAGTATTATACTATATGAGATTATATATGAAAGATGAGTCAGTAAATCAAATTGAATGACCTGAACTTTTTTACTTTTTCATAAAGTCTATTTCTAATTTCACTTTTAAATAGAATCAATAACTTCTAATTTTTCAGTTTATTGAAAATGGTCAAAAACATATTTTAAAAAAAATTTTAACAGCATTTAAAAGGTTTACATTTCTATAAAAACTTGAAAACTTTTATAAAAGTACTTTTAAGTTTACTGTAGTTTGCACATTACATTTACGAATCTACAAAGGCCTTTCTTTTAAAAAATGTCTGGCATCTGGCAAAGCAAAGTAGCTAATAAGACATGCTTATATGTGAAGTTATCTGCTACAACAGAAACAAAGGAATTAAAAAATATATTTGAAGAAATGAAGGATTTATACTTACATTATGATTATATACTCTCAATTTCGTTTTATAAAGGGGACTTATTCCTGACTTAAGCAAAAAAGACTTTCTAACAAAAACATCAACAACTTCTGTTAACACAGCTGTAATATTAAAGTTTTCTCCCCAAACCAATCACTCTTTCTTATACAGACAAGCAACAACAGAGAGACAAACAGACAGAGAGAAATTAAACCTACTTAATTTAAAAGAATCACTAGCTCATTGTATCAGTTTCTTCTTCCAAACAAACAGGGCTTACCTCAATAAAAACTTAGATTCGTACAAACAAATTTTGTTGGATATGCAGCGTTTCAAAAGATTTTGAATACTGCAGACTACAGCAGCTGTGCCTCGCATTTTATAACACGTCGAAATCTGATTTATATAGCTGCCGTGTGCAGTGTGGGCGAGGTTGAGACAAAGACCAAGGCGTGCACAGAGGTCAGGCACCAGTCAAGGGAACCACCCCTTTCAGTCCACATGTCCAGAGTTGCAAACGGAGCAGAATTTTATTTAGAAAAGGAGTTGTGTTAAGCTGCTCTCTCAAATCATTGTCCAATTTTTAAAGTCATGAAATAAACCACATTCTTTAGGCTTCTTATTTATCTTTACATGTCTGAATAATTCAGGAGTGTCATGTAAGTTTCTGGAGAAAATGAATTTTACTGTGGAGTTAATGGACAAGTGTTCCACACGGTTTTTTAAAAAAGGAATTTCCTCACAAATCACATAACACTTATATAAATGATGATTTGAAGTACTTATAAAACTGAAGGAAGGTAATAGTTACAATACAACATTTAACACCACGCTCAATTTGAAATGAATACAGTCACTGAACATGACTAATACTGATAGCAATGTTAACTGCTTGCAAACTACGGGAAAGCTATAATACATGCAGTAAGTGAAGGTATGAGGTTTAACAATCATAGATAATTTAAAAATATTGACTAAAACTATAATATTGTTTAAATGAAGTACAGAGTTCTTCATCATATAATTACCTAAAGTATGCCAAGCATTTAGATGGTTATCTTTTCTAAAACCACTATTCAGATAAAATTACTACTCGATTGATGTAAAACACTAAAACTAGTACATTTGTTCTTTTAAGAAAATACTCAAATAAACTCATATAATCCCATACTCTGAAAATAATTCTCCTCATTATTACATATTATCTCCCACATTCAAAGGCAATTTTTACATAGCTACCTTTGTATACCTTTACATATGTACACATATACATATACACACACATATATAAAAATCATGTTAGCTTACAGTGTTTGAATTTTAAAATGATATTTTTATGAAAAATCTGTAACCTTTACTATTTTACTTGAACTATGGAACTATGATGCTGTCTACTAACATGAAAATGACTACTAAATTGTATGTGAGAGATAATAATCTGTGACTTCATCTAGGACATTCAAGATGTATTTATTAAGAGACATATCATAGCAGTTGGTTTGGTAGTAATTATTTTTTGCACAATGCAAATAAACTTAACCTTTGAGGCTACATGATTCTTTTTTTTTTAATTTTTTTTTGTGTGTGAGGAAGATCGGCCCTGAGCTAACATCTGCCAATCCTTCTGTTTTTGCTGAGGAAGCCTGGCCCTGGGCTAACATCCATGCCCATCTTCCTCTACTTTATATGGGACGCCTCCACAGCACGGCTTGCCAACCAGTGCGTCAGCGTGCACCCAGGATCCGAACCGGTGAACCCCGGGCCTCCACAGCAGAGCCCACGCACTTAACCATTTGCGCCACTGGGCCAGCCCCGAGGCTACATGATTCTAAAGCAGAAAATCTAATGTTTTTCAAGCTAACTTTTCACTCTAAATGAAAGCCTTGGTCTTTAAGAACAATTTATTTGTTCATTCACCTATCAACAAACGTGTAGCAAGTGGCCTACTACCTTTAACAAATGACAAACACATAAACAAGTAACTACAAAAATGTTTTAGGCTGACATATAAACCGTATTTGGACTTACAAAAATGACAATTTCATGCAATTCAACCTAACATATTCTCACAGACACCTATGTATGTCATTATATTAACACATACAAAAACAAAGCTTAACTGTTAAGGAGAATCAGAGAAAGATTCCAAGAGGGAGTATTATTTGTGCTGAGCCTTGAAGAATGAGTAAGAGTTGTAAACAGAGATGCATGAACATTCCATACAGAGGTAACAGTATGTTCAAAGGCACAGAAGGAATAAAATCCTAATGTATTCAGATAACTTCAGGTGGATTGCAGGCCGTGATGTATGCAGGGTATGTGTGTGGGTTCATAGGAGGATGGGATGGTGGGGGACAGAGTGGCAAGAATAGACAGTGCAAAATATATTAGCAGGGTCCCGATGGTAGACTTTACTTAAAGGCAAGGGGATCCTCTGAAGGGTTTTTAGCAAAGGAGTGACATGATCATCACATCTGCATTTTAGAAAATTCATTTTGATGACAGCGTGGAAAATAGATTGCAACCTGCAGAGGAACTAGTATCAGAGAAAGCAGATTGGAGGCTATTTTAATAATCAAGAATAGTGAAGAAATAAAGCAATGGGAATGAAGATAAAGGAGAGGGAGAATTAAATATACACTAACAGGTATACCCATGGAGTGGGTGAGCAGGATATAAAAGAAAGAAAAATCAAGGCCAACTTTTGAGTATCCGTTAGGGAAATGTATATTAAAACTGTAATGAAATACCATTTCATATCTTACTAGAACGGCTATAATAAAAATGACAAACAACAACAAGTGCTGGCAAGAATAAAAAGAAACTGGAACCTACGTATATTGCTGGTGGGGCTGTAAAACAGTGCAGCCACTTTGGAAAATAGTTTGATAGTTTCTTAAAAAGTTAAACATAAATTTACCATAAATGTATCCAAGAGAAATGGAAACATAGGTCCACACAAAGACATGTATGAAAATGTTTAGAACATTATTCATAATGCCCCAAACTAGAAACAACTCAAATGTCCATCAAATGATGAATGGATAAACAAAATGTGGTATAGTCATACAGTGGAATACTATTTAGCAATAAAAAGGAATGAAGTACTAGTACATATGTTACAACATGGATGAACTTCAAAAACATGCTAAGTGAAAGAAGCCAGTCACAAAAATCACATTGTATGATTCCATTTATATGAAGTTTTTAGAAAAGGCAAACCAATCAAGAAAGGAGTAGATTAATGATTGCTTAGGACTGGGGCTGGGAACAGGAAATGAGTACAAATGAGCATAAGAAATCTTTTTAGAGTGATGGAAATGTTCCAAAATTGGATTGTAGAGATGGTTGCACAACTCTAAATTTCATAAAAGTCATTGAATTTTACACTTAAAATAGGTGAATTTTATGATACATAAATTATACTTCAATAAAGCTGCTAAAAAACAAAGAGAAATACAGAAAGAGATTTCATCAGTAAGACAATGATTTCTATTTGGTGTTAACTTTCAAGTGCTACTGGGACATGTAGAAGGAAGTGTCTGAAAACGTAGATCTTGCATTCAGGATAACAATCAGGTTAGAGATAAGAGATTTGGGATTCAAATTCCACAGGCGGTTGTTGGAGCCATTTATGTGAATAAACTAGCTCAGAGTGTGCATGTTGTGTGAGACAGAGGCCATGAACTGATCCCTGGAAAACATCAACGTTTAATGGTTGGAGAAGAAGCCCATTAAGAAATTATCAGGGAAATAATAGAAGAAGCAATGTGACCAATGGCAAGCTCCTCTTAACAGTTTTTGTTCTCAGTTTTCTGGTGTTTATCTCCATATTTCAAACCGCTTCTACTGTGTATTTCTAGATTTAGCACTAAGACCACATCAAACTGCCAGCTATGAAAGATATCGCTTACACTACCCTCTACCTCTTTAATTTGAATGTTTGATAAGTTACACTATCTTGGTTAAATTTGTAATTTTAAATAATGTACTTATACTTCTAAGTCTTAATCAATGAACTTGAGTCAATTCATAGACTGACTCCTTACCATGTAAAATAAGTAACTGTACTGCTAATTTTGCTTCCACCTTTTCTCTCTCCCCTTCCTCTTTCTGCTTTGATAGCTGTATCTTGACTCTTATATCATGAAGGTTTTTAACATTTACACTCTGATCTGTAACCCTAATGAAGTCTTTCATAACTTTGTCTCTAGATTTAGAGTTGAAAACCAATAAACTGCAGTTTT